CAATGTTCTTGTCTTTGTGGCCCGGGGTGGGGGAGGGGGGGGGGGGGGGCACGACTGTAGTATTTAACACTTTTTAGGGCGGTGTATAGAGGGTATCGTGAGTATGAGGATTTAGGACCGCACGGCTAGTTCTGTCACCATAGACTGTGCAGGTTGGGATGTTTGACTTTGCCTCTGACAGTAAAACTCCAACTCTTAGTGGAGGTCGAACCCTAGTCTCCCGCATGAGACGCCCAGGTTGCTCAGCCAGCTGCGTCCTCTGCCAGTCAGTGCTAACTCCCATTCAGTCTCATAAGATTCATGAAAAACACAAACAGCGTGTGATTTCTCAGTTCGGTTGACAGTTGTTATCGGTTTCGAAGAAGACGCGTCCTCTTTGTTTCTCTATCAATTCGTGACATTCTGTGCATTTTTATTAGATAACACATTTCCGCTGCGAGCAAACGTGTGTTTGTTCATCTTGTCAGTTTAATGTATATATCGCACATGCATATAGCACCACAAGTTCTCTATACCACGTTACTACATACAAGGCTGGTTTTGATTTCATGAGGCCTTTAACTATATAACGCCATGAGACCCCTACCGTTTTATATTCTTTTACTTTTGCTTTCTGTCCCCCTCTTTTCTTTTCTTTTTTTTTCCCCCCTCCCTAATTGGACCTAGACAGACAACCAACTCACACACTGCGGTTTTAAATCACAGCAGCTAATCTTATAAAATGTAAAATATAAGCGCCTTTTAAATATATGGCAATGGAACTATATTGTCTTTTAATTTTTTTTTTAAAGAAATAATAAAGCATGTGTGTGTGAAATTACAGAAACGATTTAATAATCTAAAAGGCCACACAAAAAAATATTTCCCCTTACTAAATACACTACACTTTAAATACAGTAATGTTACAGGCTGATGACGCAGTTTTAGTCTATTAATAATTTTGGTTTGTCTGCACTTGCGAACAAAAACTGACAAGCTCGGATGTCGGAACTCTTCAAAAATGGAGTCAAAGTGGCTATTTGTGCTTTGTGGTCTTTGTGCTTTTGGCTGTTTTTGTTGTGAGTTGACGGTGGGGAGACCAGACATGTGTGAGTCTGATTTTTCTTTGCGTAGTCGTTCATGGCAACGTGGGTTCATGGGACTGAGTCGAGAGATGGACTGGCTCACTGGTTTCAGTGTTATGGTGGTACGTTTCAATAGGTAGTCTGTGTTAGACCTAGACTTTCCATGTGCATTCTGAGTAAGACTTGTAGTTCGTGTACGTGGTCTGGCTAAGCGCTACCTATGTAGTTAGATGTTCTGTTTACTAAGGAATATGGTTCTCTTAGGAGTGGTTTGTGTCTATTTTTCACCTAGTATTATTATTGTTCATTTACGTATATATTGCCTTATGTCGATTGTCGATGTAACACATGTCTGCAACAGTTGACTGAGTGAAATAAAGGACTCGTTGATTTTTTTTTATTCGGTTAGTACGTCTAGTTTTATTGTTACTGCTAATCAGATCCTTCTGTATATAGGTCCTTTTGACTAAATCACGGTATATTTTGGCGTAGCCGCTCGATAATTGGTCGCCAGAAACGTTTCCATGTTGCATTGTGTGACATTTTAATATGCTTACAAAGTTATGTGTTCTAAATGTATTCGTATCACAAATCGACAAGCGGATATTGTGAAGTGGATATACAAAATTGTCAAACTTTGCTGTTAGATTACAGCAATTTTAATTTTAATTCACGATAGACAGTCGTGTTGTGATGTTTGTGCCACTGTTTCTAGTCAGTAGTTTGGATTTTTGGGATTTTTTTTAATTCGGTTAGTGCGTCTAGTTTTATTGTTACTGCTAATCAGATCCTTCTGTATATAGGTCCTTTTGACTAAATCACGGTATATTTTGGCGTAGCCGCTCGATATTTGGTCGCCAGAGACGTTTCCATGTTGCATTGTGTGACATTTTAATATGCTTACAAAGTTATGTGTTCTAAATGTATTCGTATCACAAATCGACAAGCGGATATTGTGAAGTGGATATACAAAATTGTCAAACTTTGCTGTTAGATTACAGCAATTTTAATTTTAATTCACGATAGACAGTCGTGTTGTGATGTTTGTGCCACTGTTTCTAGTCAGTAGTTTGGATTTTTGGGAACTAGCTGTTAATTCTTTTTTCTACTTTGAATGTAAAAATCTTACTTTTGGGGCGGGGGGAGGGGGGGGGGGGCAAGTAATTTAGAGGCCATATCTAGAAAATTTCGACTGTTGTCAGGTGCAAACTATCTTGTGTTGGAAGAAAACTATTGCTTTCATATTGACTGTGCATAAATGGTGCAACCACACTTTAGATAAATTGTGTCAAGATATTTAGGAGCTCTGGGTAAGTGCATAAAAACAATATTTAATTGACTAACTAACCTTACACAGCAAGTCACTCTTTGCCTCTTTACTAATTGTTGACTAACAGTATAATTATATGTTGTAGAAGTACACTAATCAATTATTTTTGTGAATCGACTTCTGCTTCGCGAACACTGTCTGTAAACTCTGGCAGAAACTTCTGGTTGTTCATCTACTTCTAATGCATATTTGCAGTTGTACGGTCTGTGTTAATTTTTATACATTTTCCTCTGCTTCGAGAATACTGGCTGTAAACTCTGGCAGAAACTTTTGATTGTTCATCTAATTCTTATGCATATTTGCAGTTGTGCGGTCTGTGTTCATTTTTGTGAATTGTCTTTTGCTTTGCGAACACTGGCTGTAAACTATGGCAGAAACCTCTGTTTGTTTATCTAATTCTGGGCTTTAGTCTTCTTCCATACACTGTTTTGAACAACGAGATCCGGTATCTATATGGGGAATTTTTGTGTTTGATATGTGTAAGTTGCATAGCATTTGCAGTTATATGGTCTTTTTAAATTTGCTTTAATTACCTTTAAAATAATATACCATTCATGATACTTATACGCGTTGTTGCATGCAATATTCAGAAATATGTGTGATGTATCTTTAAACAGTTACCAAAAAATTCACAATGATAAGGAATTGATTTCATCCAACGTGATGAAACTGGAAAAATGTGTACCTTGATGATATATATTTAGTAGTGCTATAAGTACTGTTAAGAAAACTGCTCTGGGTGAAAAATTATTGCGCATATCAATTTCATATTGACTGTGCTTGTGTAATAATTATTAAATAACTGTATAATTATATGTTGTAGTAGTCTACATCCAAACTTTATTGATGTTTATATTCATGTTGACTGCAGCATTTTTGTTTGTCTGTAAGAGCCTTTATTGTTATATTTAAATAGCACACTTATTTACCTTAAAAATGACGCGTAGTTCTATAAAATATGTCGAAAATTAATGAAACTAGTTTAATTTGTGTATACATATCCTTGATAAAAACTGTGGACACAGAGGGACTCTATTCTTGCACAAGAACGGGAATCCCCGTTGACCTGTTTGGCCTATAAATAGAGAAGGCCATGCTGCTAATATACAGAACCTATCCTATCAGGGCTAGGATACAATAGGTCTTAGTCCCCGCCTAACGATGTTTGTTGTTCCTAAAGCAGCTTGGGTGTATGTTTTGGCACATTCTTTGCAGCTTTTAAAGTAAGATAGGTTTAATGAGTAGCTTTATCTTATTCTTCATTGCATCTCTTCGTTTTCTTTTGTGAACAACATCCCAGTAATAAGTGGTGATCATATTTCAATAAAAATATAAATAAATGGAACAAGATATAAACATGCTGTGCTTACTATACATTGATAATTTGTTTTAATGGTGACACGGCACATAGAAGAAAGAGGAGGAATGTGGATTAAAGATGATCATTGTTTAAAGGAAACATAAGGAATTCTTTCTGTTGTTTCATATCGTAGTCGTTCGTTCACGACTTGTAGAGCCTGCATTCCAAAGCGCTTTCTTAAATGTCAGATAATTTTTTTAGTTGAATAAGTTAACACACCCTTTAATAGGGCGCTAATAGGGACATCTTCTTGTGTTTTCAGCCCCAAGGCACAAAGGTTGTGGATTCCAGCAGTGCTAGTCAATCCAATTCCCCTTCTCTCTCTCTCTCTCTCTCTCTCTCTCTCTCTCTCTCTCTCTCTCTCTCTCTCTTTCTGTCTGTCTTTCTCTCCCCCCTCTCTCTCTCTGTCTCTTTCTCAACCCCCTCTCTCTGTGTCTTTCTCTCCCCCCTCTCTCTGTGTCTGTCTTTCTTCCCCCCCCCGCCTCTCTCTCCCTCCCTATCTCTCTCCCTCCCTATCTCTCTCTCTCCCGCTCTCTCTCCCCCTCACCCTCTCTCTCTCTCCCTCCCTCTCTCTCTCCCGCTCTCTCCCGCTCTCTCCCTCTCATCCTCTCTCTCTCTCTCCCTCCCCCTCTCTCTCTCCCTCTCTCCCGCTCTCTCTCTCCCGCTCTCTCTCCCTCTCTCCCTCTCTCTCCCTCTCTCCCGCTCCCTCTCTCTCTCTCTCTCTCCCCCTCTCCCGCTCTCTCTCTCTCTCCCTCTCCCGCTCTCTCTCCCTCTCTCCCGCTCTCCCCTCTCTCTCTCCCGCTCCCTCTCTCTCTCTCTCCCGCTCTCTCTCCCTCTCTCCCTCTCTCTCCCTCTCACCCTCTCTCTCTCTCTCCCTCTCTCCCTCTCTCCCTCTCTCTCTCCCTCTCTCTCTCCCTCTCCCTCTCTCTCTCTATCCCTCTCTCTCTCCCTCTCACCCTCTCCCTCTCTCCCTCTCTCTCTCCCTCTCTCCCCCTCTCTCTCTCTCTCTCTCTCTCACCCTCTCTCTCTCTCTCTCTTCCTACACTGAGGAAATGTTTTACGAAGTTTCTTCCTTCTGCTGCTGAGGTGTTGTTCGACTCAGTCACGTGGTCATACGAAAACAATCTATATATATAAACTTGTACCATAAACCGATACCCCCCCCCCCCCCAGGGTGCTATTTACGGACAACAGATGCAGTTTGTGTGCACATCACAATGCGTTTTAAATGTCTTTTGTCTGCAGGATGCGCCACAACAAACACCACACATGGCACATGATGCTGCTATATCACCTGATGCAGGTGTGCATTCTGGGTAAGATTGTGCCCAGTCCGGACCACGCCCCCTCTGCGTGTCAGATATCACGTGATTCTGTCTATGGCGGGAACCTGGTCAACTGTTCAAGTCTAGGGCTCAAGGGACTACCAGCTGACCAGCTGCCGGACAACGTCACCACTCTAATACTGCAAGACAACGAGATAACATCCCTGTCCAACAACTTCTTCTCGGTTCCACAGCTGTCCTCTCTGCAGCATCTCAGCCTCAGAGCGTCTCGAGTGTCCACCATTGAGGTGAGATCTTGACACGTACATGAGGTGGTGTGTCTGTATGCCCGCTACCAGTTACTAGTACTACGATGATGGCTGCACACGCATATTCTTAACACCGATGCAACGAGACGAAGAATTTTTCGTCATTTCATCTCCCGTGTCATCGTTGCCTGCTAACACTTACACATGCGAGTTGACCACGCCTTGCCACTGGTTGGCTGTCCGTGTGAGTGAGGGTGTAAGTGAGCATATGAAAGAATGCCAGTTAGAGCTGTTTGCTTAGCATGTGAAATAACGTGTGTTCCAATGTGTTGGTGAATTTGTAAAAAAATAAAAAAAAAACGAGTGCTTGATATGAGTGAGCAAGTATGGGAAAGAGTTGTGAGGAGTATGTGTGGTAGTGTTGTATGAAAGTGCGCGAGTATGTGAAAACATGTGCTGTGAGTGTGAATTTGTGTAAGTACTGGAAAGAACGTGTGCTAGATAAGTGTGTGAGTGTGTGTGTGGGGGGGGGGGGTGTGTTAAGAGCTGTGTGACAATGAGTGACTGTGTGAAAAGATGTGTGTTAGCACTGTTTGAGAGAGAATGTAAGAAATAATTTTTTTTTTTTTTTTTCAATTTCGTGAAAGTGAGTGTAAAAATATTGTGTGTTAACACTGGGTGAAAATGAGTGTGAAAAATTTTGTGTGTTAGCATTGGATAAAAGGGAGTGTGAGAAGGACTGTGTGTTAAGAAATGTGTGAGAGCACGGCCATCTCCAGGAGCTGGCTGTGTGTGAGAGTGAGTATGTTAGTCTGCTCCTGTTCTCCGGGTTGTTATCTAAAGGTCTGGTCTCACTTACGGCCCCAAGCGCCGCCTGCCGGATGGCAAACTATCATGGAAAATCTCATATACCCAGGTAATAATAACAGCTACTCTAAAAAAGTGAGTGTTTCTTGTGTGGCTCCTGTTGAATGGTCCAAGATTTGAACCATCATAAATATGCTTGTGTTGTCAGATTGATGCACTGTCTGGTCTGCGGAGTCTGGAGACGCTTGATCTAGAACACAATGACCTTAGACTTTGTACGGACAATAGGTCATTTCCTGCCGGCATGTTTAATCATGTGCCCAACCTCAGACACCTATTTGTTGGCTTCAACACAAAAGATCGCAGTGAAATCCCCGGCTGCCAAGTTTACTCGGAGCACATTGATATCTTCTCCTCCTTACCACGACTGACAAACCTGTCTATCGACTCACTCAACAACACTCTCCATTTGGGCCAAGAATTTGCACAGTTGACTCTGCTAGAGAACATCACTGTGGTGTGCAGCTTTGTCATCTCCATCACAAACATGAGTCTCCAGGGACTCCGACAGCTACCTCTCCAGGTTTTGAGTCTGATAAATTTCCAGCTAGAAGTTACACTGTTTGAACTGGGTGTCTTCGAGAACCTTCCCCACTTGAATCACTTGACGGTTGATGACAGCCATGTTGGTAACCACAAAATCCTGCTGGCTCTGTATCCACTCTCCAACAGAAATATGACTTCATTGTACTTGAGAAAGACCAACGTGTTTGCCACCTACAGCATACCCTCCGTGGCTCTTGACGACGGCATTATTACAGAATTATTGTCCAGGTCACTGAGATCGATTTGTTTACGCCATTTTTCATGGATCGATAGCTTCCTGTTTGCATTCAAGCCGAACTCAGTGACCTCCGGAGCCTGGCCAGACTGTATCACTAGCCTCGACCTCTCTCGTAACAAGTTAGAGAACATTGGATGGGTGCCCACCTTATTTGAAGTTATTCGGCTGAAATACTTGAGCCATATAACCCTTTCCTCAGTATTGACCCCGCTAGAGGAATCATATTCCAGGCTTATAGACTGTGACCTCCCCATGACCTATGGTGACCATGACACCAGACTCCAACAGGATACGCACAGTCACGCAAGCCCTGCAGTTACAAACAGTAAGGTCCATACTTTATCAGAGCCCAGTAGCCAAAATGACACATACAACTATGCAATAGATAAGCGGACTCTTAAACTCAACAATAAAGCAGTCGATAACGTAACGCATGATCAGAATCAACAATCTGACATGATATTGTCGTTCCTTGAAGAGCAAGCACATGGCCCTCAGAGGCACCACTTCAAAAACAATGGCAGTGAAAAAGTCGACAACAGGACACACAGCCGAAGTCAAAATCCCCAAAGGATGTTGTCTTTCTACGAAGAACCAGCACAAGCCATGCAGACGTCTCAGTTCCCATACAATGGCATCATCACCTACTACTTTCCGCGTTCTTTGAGGACACTGAAGATTATCAACATGATATTTTCACCGATGACCATAGGCAGGCTGCATATTGTCTGTGCACGTAATGAGAACTTTGAAGAATTGTACTGGGTCAACAATCAACTGTTAGAAGCTAAGGGAGTTATCTCTAACGTGGAAACATTGAAACTTTTTGACATTAGTGGAAGTATTTTTGACATAGCCGATCATCTGTTCGACACATTCTACGGCCTCCAGGTGTTTGTGATCCGTGAGGTTAAACCAGACACGTTCTTTAGATCAAACTCTGTTCAACGTCTTCTGCGTAACCTCACCAACCTGAGATACTTGGATGTCTCCAATAACAGACTAAACTCTCTCCTGTTCCCTCCAGACACCTTCTCCTCCACACCAAACATCAGCCACGTCATCCTCTCCCAGAACAGGTTCTCCAGCATCCCCTTTCACCTGGAGAACACCCCCAACCTGCGGTTCCTGGATCTGTCAGAAAACGCCATCTTGTTTTTGACTGAGGAAGAGCGGGAGGCATTAGACCGTCACGTGAGCAGAGTAGGAGAGTTGGTACTGAACCTGGAGGACAACGCTATAGCCTGTGTCTGCTCGCAGATCGACTTTATGGGTGAGTTTGCAGATCATCTCCGACTATCACCTGCAAATCATCATTGCATATCCTCGGTATCATAACCTTCATGACCTTCAAGGGTAAGCTTGAAGATCATCTCAGACTATCACCTGCAAATCATCATTGCATATCATCGGTATCATAACCTTCATGACCTTCAAGGGTAAGCTTGAAGATCATCTCCGACTATCACCTGCAAATCATCATTGCATATCATCGGTATCATAACCTTCATGACCTTCAAGGGTAAGCTTGAAGATCATCTCAGACTATCACCTGCAAATCATCATTGCATATCATCGGTATCATAACCTTCATGACCTTCGAGGGTAAGCTTGAAGATCATCTCAGACTATCACCTGCAAATCATCATTGCATATCATCTGTATCATAACCTTCATCACCTTCAAGGGTAAGCTTGAAGATCATCTCAGACTATCACCTGCAAATCATCATTGCGTATCATCAGTATCATAACCTTCATCACCTTCAAGGGTAAGCATGGAGATCATCTCAGAAGGATCGGGCGGAAGAGGATGAGGAGGAGAACAATTCAGTCTTTATATTTCCCTACGGTCGTGATAACAAAGTCGTCTCTCTCCACCCCCCCCCCCTCCCTAACCGAGAATATTTTTGGGTTAGTTCGACGTTGTTCTCCCTATGAACGAACTCTCACACACTAGCTCACTTCTGATTGGTCGAACTTGTCCCACGTGTCCTTGGCTCAAGGTGACGGGGGTGTTCCTCAATGCCGTTGATATCGCTTGTTGTATATTTTAGTATGCTAGCGCTTTTAACACTCCAAAAACAAGAACCAACTGGTCTTACACAAACCCCTTTAACGAGTGATGAAACCTATGTCACAAGCATTTGCTTTCTCGGAATAAAAACGTACATGCAAGACAATCCAGAAAGCAAAAACAGAACTGCAGGAAAGTAGACCAGCCTAACAAATTTCTCAATGGAAATTGACCTACTTTTTGGGGGAAGACTAACGTCGGATTAAATTATTTTTGTTTTCTGTAATATTTGTGTTTTGTATACACGGCTCTTCTATTTTGCCCACAGCGTGGATGTTTGAGACCCCAGTGACGATCCAGCAGAGCCCCACCTTCCAGTGTCTGACAGAGGATGGGTCAGTGATTCAAGTGGCATCCCGGGAAGATCTCCTGACCTTCTGCAGAGTTTGTCAGGGCAGGTTGGTCATTGATTGTATAAATTAGCTGACTCGGTAGACTAAACAGTGATTGTACAAATCACTACACATTGATTGTACAAACTAGCTGATTGGACAAAGTGATTGGACGCATTAACTGACTGCATAAACTGAATGGACCAAGCAATTATACACATTAGCTGACTGGATAAACCTAATGGACAGATTGATTGTACACACTAGCTGACTTGATAAAGCTAATGGATAAAATAATTATACACATTACCTGACTGAATAAACCAAATGGACAAAGTGATTGTACACATTAGCTGACTGGATAAACCTAATGGACAGAGTGATTGTACACATTAGCTGACTTGATAAAGCTAATGGATAAAATGATTGTACACATTACCTGACTGGATAAACCAAATGGACAAAATTATTGTACACATTAGCTGACTGGATAAATCGAAGGGACAAAGTGATTGTACACATTAGCTGACTTGATAAAGCTAATGGATAAAATGATTGTACACATTACCTGACTGGATAAACCAAATGGACAAAATTATTGTACACATTAGCTGACTGGATAAACCGAATGGACAAAATGATTTTACACATGTTTATGTTTATTCGACGGACCAACATCATGGCACACGAGTGTAACCCATAAGTGCTCCATTTTACTTCTAACTCAAGCCTAATTCTGAAGAATCTCAGCGCAGTGCACGAACTCCGTTGCACCGGCGAGGATCCTGAAATACTTTGGGTAGATTTTAAACTAAAAATATTCCCTGTTATGCTACTCTATCTTCGATTTCTAACCATCAAGTATTTTATTACGTGCCAAGAATACATACTGGCGCCCTATCCTACTACCCAAAAACACTGAGATGAAGTCCATGTGCAAATATTCCAGCCTTCACCGGGGCTTGAACGCAGGACCACTGCACCCTAGGCGAACACCATGCCTTGAGACCACTGAGTCCCCGCGATTGTACACATTAGCTTATTGAACAAACTGATTGGAAAAAAGTGATTGTACACATTACCTCACTGGACAAACTGACTGGTCAACGTGATTGTACACATTACCTCACTGGACAAACTGACTGGACAACGCGATTGTACACATTACCTCACTGGACAAACTGACTGGACAACGTGATTTTACACATTACCTCACTGGACAAACTGACTGGACAGCGTGATTTTACACATTACCTCACTGGACAAACTGACGGGACAGTGTGATTGTACACATTACCTCACTGGACAAACTGACGGGGCAGCGTGATTGTACACATTACCTTACTGGACAAACTGACAGGACAGCCTGATGTATTCACCGTACCAAGTGACTGAATTAATTAGATGACTTATAAACTAAATAATCAAACCGACTGAGTGGACTGACTAACGATTGATTGATTAATAGATTGATTGTGTAGAAAAGGTCCCGTGTAGTTAGCATCCTTTGGATATATTCTCAACTTCAAGCCGATGTGTTGGGAAATGAGCAGCCAGATAGACTGTCTGGCTCTGCACCACTTGGTGGTGGAACTCATGTATGACAAGCTGGATGTTGTGAGGGCCCTTTGGGAGCGAGTGAACAGTTCCGAGGAACAGATAGATCATTCTGGTCTAAGGAAAATGATGCTGTAGGGAGTCACAAGGGGATCTGGCCGACGGTCGATACTCAGGGGAAAGGCGAGACGGATATACAATCAGACAGTTACTGGTACCATCGGAATTTTTAATCTTCGCCTGCTGCTGAAGATAGGGACGGAGAGCTTATAGGGGTGACCTGAGTGCTGTGATGTGATTCCTAATTCAACATTTTGATGATGTAGACGACTGGTTGTGTAAACTGACTAATTATGCACTAAATGTGATTATATAAACAATCATAATCCAGTCTGAAGATTTAGTGATCAGAAAATATAGAGATCTCAGGCTCCGAATTTATATCTATAGTTTTCTGGTATCACACTTGACACATGGAGCATTCGCCGTCCATCTGTTGTTCTTCTGCCTATGATTTTCCAGGCTATCCTCCGAATAACGGGCCCCATTTTATGGCGGCCCAAAACACACCCTAACAGGGCCTCAGCCATATTTAAATTTCGGACTTCCGGCTACTACAGCCAACGCCGAGAGTATCTCCCACGCCGCTACGCGTGGGGATACGCTAGATGGCTGGGACACTGTCACATATCACTCCTGTCGCGTGCCTAATGTAAGGATTCCTCCTTCAGAACCCACAGCACTCAGAGATAATTATGTTGAGTCGTTTGGCTCGTATTGGTCTAAGGGATTCCCCGTGGCCAATATACGATCAACTTATCTCTGGAGTAGGGCAACTCAAGTATTGGCACTACAAAATATGTCAGTATATATATATAATATTTCTAGGCACACTTGGCTGGACACCCCCACTACTTACTAAAGAAAGCCCCCAGGTTATGATAGTTCATTATCATAACCATGTTAACACATATAATGAAGATACACATACATACACAACTGCTAAACACTTAAAAAGGTGAAATAGAGACACCTAAGTCAGCCATGAAAATGAATGTATGTAATCAATATAAATTAGATATATAAAAGTGAGACAAATGCCAGATCTCAGGATATCATGTCCAAATCACAAAGATACTACACAGACAGAAGGTCTTGGAGATGACATCTTGTCATCACTGGACAATCTAGGAGCTGTGAGGAATAAAGCATATAAGGCGTCAAACTGCACTTAGCCCCTTTCTGTCTATGATGCCTCCCTCAGCTCCTGATGATTCGACTGTCTTTGACTCTGGTAATTCTGCTCAACTGGATCAGGTAGTGAAAAAGTACTTCACCATAGAATACACATCAACTGTACCGGTATTTAGCAAGTCTCTATCACCAGTAAGGACACACAATGTCTTTGAGCCACACTAA